GCTGCCCTTTTAGGAAATGCAATGATTAAAGATTTTTGGCTATTGAGCTTAATACTATGAATATGAGGATTAAAGACTGCGAGGTCATTGACTTCAAATTTTGTTTTTAAGGTCAAACTAAAGAGACGTTTCTTTTTCAAACAATTCTAAAGGACAAATTTCATTTAAGATAGAACTTGATCCTTTTCCAAAAATTAAAGATTATATTGTTTTAAATCTAGAGAGACAATAGGAAATTTTATTTTTTGTTAATTAAACTACAAGAGCCCACCAACATGCTTTAAGAAATGAAAATCATGTGTGGCAGCCACCTTGGTTTTAAACCAACAAAAGACTTTAAATTGGGAAGCTGATTGGGAGGCAACCCAAAATTTGTTTTTCTTTGTCTCTTTTATTTTTATGTTTTGTTTTTCTTTGAGTATCCAGTTGTGGTTGCAGGTTTTCCTGGCTATAGGGTTTAAATGAAGGCCTGTTTTAAGTTGGTGAAACAGGGAGTCTCTCTTAACCCTTTTCTCTCTTGGTCCCACACTGTTTTGTGCTCATATGATAATCTCACTCCCATTCTCTCTTGGCTGAATTCTATAACTTGTCCAGTTGAAATCTCCATCCCGTTCTTTCTTGGCTCACATCTGAGTTTTCATTTAGGTGAATCCCCAACCCCTCTTTTGCTTGACTCTGACATGATGTGGTTATTTTTCATTACACATTCATGCGCTGAGGACATTGCATCATTTAAGTGTTGGGGGGTGGGGGTGGGGGTGGGGGTCCATTATTGGAAGTTTGAAGTCTAAGGTCTAATGGTTGAATTGCTGATTACTGGTTTTAAATTCTGTTTTGGTATGTTTAAAAAACACATCTTAAATGTGATAGCTTTTGGTCTTTTTTTTCAAAAATTAGTGAGTTTTTAGAGCTTAATGCTTAAGCGACTATTTTCATCACCGAGAAAACCTAATCCGATTGTCGTCTCCAGCGAGTTGGAGGACACGGATAACACTTTTCAACTCTCACTCAGCTTTTTTTGGTTATGTGAAGATCGCAAGAAACCAAGCAGTAGGAGGATAAGCCGAGGGAAAGACAGCCGCATCCACATCGTAGCCAAGGAACCTGCAACCGGAGATATAATCTGAGCCAAACCCAAAATTTTTTTACTCGAACCCAATTTCAGGTCGGGTCGGGTTTGGGTTTATAATTCTAACTGAACCCAACCCGAGCCATACCCGAGTGTTTAAACTTACTAAAATTTAAAAATTAAAACCCTAAAGGCTAAAGTCCAGACTCCAGATCCGAAACTCTTTTTCTCAGCCGCACGATCTGTTTGTCTTTCTTCAAGTTCCAGCGCCATCATCGACTCTTCTACGGCCTCCACCGAAGGCGTCTCTCTTTCTTCCAGCGCCATTACTACTTATATGTGGTCAACGAGTTTAGTTTTCTCTCCCATATACTGTCACTGTCCTACCATTTTATTAATCAGGTTTCGCTTCAGCCCTACTTCCGAAGACGGTAGAAGCATTAATGTGTCTTAAATGTTGGAGAGTAATGGAATTTCAAGGTAAAGTACATAACTAAGTATTTTATTTTTGCAAGATAATATACATTCACATTGAAGATTTTTTTGTTTGCGTGACTTACCTTGTAGGTAATAACAAGGATGAGGTGTTAGCATGTTCAAGCATTTTGTACGATGAAGATGTGGAAGAAGAAAAGGGCAATGATGATGTAAAAGTATTGCTAGATATATAAAATTAATATCTTTTTATTCCATAATCATTCTAAATTTGATATCATAGTATTTGATGATGAAGATGTTGACAGTAAACAAAATGAAGATCTTTGATGCACGAATTTGTACTCCGTACTTTGTATTGTCTTATGACTTTTTTAATTAAACAGTGCGGAAGCTTTAAGTACTTACCAAAATACAATTATGGGGTTCGTTCCCCTTAAACATAGTAAGTTCAAATATGTCAATTGAACTAGATAACTCCTCCAGCCAGCATCCTTCCATCTTCTCGTCCTCGATGCCCTTAAAATATTTCCTTATTCATCATTCATGTTACCCACGTAAAGCAAATAGGAAAAATGGCTACACGTTCAGCATTGAAGCCAAGTGAGAAATATCTAACGTTTCGGCTACGCACATAGATGAACCTACTAGCTCATAACTTCATACGATATCATGCACACAAGTACGACAGTAATAATATCACATAACTTTTACCAGATAAAACAACTACATTATAACAACATACTCTCTGTTACTTACCTTGGTTCTCGACCTTCACATGTCATTATCACAATATTCAAGTTATTACAATAGCGCATATCACACACCAGCTCTGGGCTAAGGCCAATTCCTCATTATTCACATTCTTATCTTAAAACTTAGAGCCACTATCTATGGCCATGACTCAGGTCTATTCTATGACATCAGAACCACTACCTACGACCATGATTCTGGTCAACCCAGTACCTACGATTCCAGTTGGGTGGAACCTTCAATCTTACGAATCAGATCCCAAATTCTACATATGTACATCTTTACCCAAATTCCATCGGACACTATGTCCGCAAGACTCTACATATATTTTCAACTTACAAATCTCATTTTTCACAAAGTAGTCTTAGATTGGGATGTCAATTCAACCCGAACCCTATCTTAACTGACCCGACCAAATAATAAAATATCTGAACCCAAACTGAAAGCAAAATAATCTGAGCCAAACCCAAAATTTTTTTACTCGAACCCAATTTCAGGTCGGGTCGGGTTTGGGTTTATAATTCTAACTGAACCCGACCTGAGCCATACCCGAGTGTTTAAACTTACTAAAATTTAAAAATTAAAACCCTAAAGGCTAAAGTCCAGACTCTAGATCCAAAACTCTTTTTCTCAGCCGCACGATCTGTTTGTCTTTCTTCAAGTTCCAGCGCCATCATCGACTCTTCTACGGCCTCCACCGAAGGCGTCTCTCTTTCTTCCAGCGCCATTACTACTTATATGTGGTCAACGAGTTTAGTTTTCTCTCCCATATACTGTCACTGTCCTACCATTTTATTAATCAGGTTTCGCTTCAGCCCTACTTCCGAAGACGGTAGAAGCATTAATGTGTCTTAAATGTTGGAGAGTAATGGAATTTCAAGGTAAAGTACATAACTAAGTATTTTATTTTTGCAAGATAATATACATTCACATTGAAGATTTTTTTGTTTGTGTGACTTACCTTGTAGGTAATAACAAGGATGATGTGTTAGCATGTTCAAGCATTTTGTACGATGAAGATGTGGAAGAAAAAAAGGACAATGTTGATGTAAAAGTATTGCTAGATATATAAAATTAATATCTTTTTATTCCATAATCATTCTAAATTTGATATCATAGTATTTGATGATGAAGATGTTGACAGTACAGAAAATGAAGATCTTTGATGCACGAATTTGTATTCCGTACTTTGTATTCTCTGATGACTTTTTTACCCTGACTTTTGTTCATAGTCATAGCACAACATATAGTGTTCATCATTGTATATATTCCTCTAGTCTTCTTCAAAATATTGTAGATATATATTGTTTAAGATCATATGACAACTTTTTTCTTTGTCATAATTCAACATCTCCTTCGAGGTATGTGAAATGTTTGAATACCATTTTTTTTGTTCTTCCTGAGTTTAAATAAGCTTTATCATGCTATGAATTCAGCATCATGTCGTGCTATTAGGGCTTAACAATCATGTTCTTTAGTAGGCAACTTTTCTTTAAATTAATTTTTTAAAAATTTGATTGTGTTTAAAAGTATTTTATTATGCCATGGAAGTCAATATTAGTATAATTTTAAAAATTATATGAATTTATAGTTCCAATAATCATCCATATGTATGAAATCCACAAGAATAAGGCGATCAATTTCTGTCAGAGTGAATTAGAGGAGCAAACTGCATATTATAGATTTGTTTTTGTATATTCCAACCATTACCATAGGTAACCATGGGTTTGGGCGTAGCCTACCCTTTTGAAGAAATCGTCTGATCCCCATTTTTCCTTTTCAATTTGAATAGAAAAAGTCAAATGGAATTCTGAATATGAAGGTTACGAACATGTATTTCAACAGTCACTTAGCATGTTCTCTCATGACATTAAAAAACCCTGGTAATTTCTCTTATCCTAATCTTTTCATGAACACTCAATAATGTTGTGTTTCTGATAATACAATTCTACACTTAATTTGTTTTTCACTTATTTCAGTATTTCCATATTCCAGATGTTCGAAGCTCTACAACAGGTCCTTGGCGTCCCATTTGGATCGTACTTTGAGGTGCGTGCTATGCTTGTTTTTAATCTCTATTTGTGTATTTGCTTAAAATTACATATTCTTTTGAGTTATTGTGGTTTACTAGCATCTAACTTTCATGGTTGTGCTTTGAGAACTGAAAATTCTCAAAATCTAGACAACAAGAATTTACAATTCAAAATGAAATACGTTTGGCCAGTCTTTTCCATATTTGATTCATGAACACATTGTAGTTAAGATTAAGATCTGGATGACCTTGAAGGGGCATACAAATTGTAAGATTGTACAACACACATGTAGATATTGATAGTAGGATGGGTAGGAGATGAAAGTTTTGAAGTGCAAAGTCAAAGTGCAGCACAAGATATTGTTGTGTGCATAAATTAAAAACAAAGGATGCTATAAACAAAGACAAAACTGCAGCATTGAAGAGCAAAGTCAAAGTGCAGCAAAATACTTCTAAAGACCCTTGTTCGTAGATAGCCACTATATTGGAAGAGTTTTCTTCTTAAAAGGTTTGCTTATTGCAATTCTTTGCTCCAAGTTAGAATTCTTTGCTTTTCGCCATGTCTAGAGAAACTCCCACTTCCTTGAACCTTTGCAATGGGCCTTCTACTTCTTTGCTGAAATCTACCTCCTACCCCAAGTCCGTTAATTCCAACGATTGGGGAGGGCTAGATCCCTACGAGTTTTGCCGCCGCCAACTTCGCCAAACCCATATGACGACTTTAGCGCGGCATTCAGGGCACTTTTGGCCAACCACCTACCCTCTGGGGAGGTGGATTGGGATGCTCCATAAGTGGCATTGCGCAGCTTGGAAGAGCGTGCAAGATGAGCATTTTCCCCTTTTGGAGCATGAAGCAGCATACTACACTAGTCTGGAGCAGTAACTGAGGAAAGTCGCACCAACTCGCCGGAGCCAGGTCAAGCTTCCGTTACGGGGGCAGAATTGGGTTCCTCCCAGTAACCCTCGGCTGGCCCCTCATCTCCCCGAAGGGCCTCTAAGCGACCAGGAGTAGCTCTTGCTGCTCCTGTAGCTCCTGCTGCTCCTAGGTCTGCATCCTCATCGAGGGGTGATGCCGATTGGGGCTCACAGAGCGAGTGACCCCTCCCTTTCTTCTACACGTGAGAAGGAAGGTGAGTGTTTGTCGCAGGGGGCGGGCGCTCATCTTCCCTCCATGTTGGAGAAGAAAGGTGGGTGTGTGCAGCAACTGGTGGTTGGGATTCTGCACACCCAATGGCTGCAGAACTACCCTTCACCTTGCCTTTTTCCTTGTGTTTTTCTTCCCTTTCAGGGTTTAGTCGCATGTATGTACTCTAGTGTTATGGATTTTTCCTCAAGAATGTATGAGAATGTTGCTTGATGTAGTGAATATGCAAAATGTATGGAGTAATTTTTGATGTGTAATGGATGTTTTCTTGAATGTATTTTTGGCATTACTTGCCTAACCAGTTTTTGACAAGTCCCACTCTATTTCATAGACTTAGCTTAGTGTTGTTTAAGCCTCGTCCTCAGCATCTGGGCCACCTCACTTTTCGGTTGAGGAACCCACTTGCTTCTTTTTTACTTAGCCTTTTCTGGGGCTTTCTCACCCTGGCGTCGTCTTGTCTTTGATCTCCAAAGTTGGGTTCAGTACTTCGCCCCCCCTTGGAGGTCTTATCAATATGAAACACCGTATTAGGGGTCGCGCCAATCAGTGGTCGCTCAGGCAACCAATAAGTTCCATTGGGTACAGTACTTCGCTTCCTTAGAAGGCAACTTGGTACGAATCACCATATGGTCTCGTGTAGCGATCCTCTTTGGTCGCTCCTTTTTTTAGAAGAGATGGAAGCAAGAAGTTGCAATGTGCCGATTTTGTTAAGCTCAAAGGCAGATCATAGGAAGGGTACAAATTATTGATAAAACTTAATAAGATTAGCACTATTCCATACCCGCGGGACATCTCCTCCCGCTGGAGTCCGCAATTTGTACGTTCCATCGGCCAACACTTCCTTTATGATGTATGGCCCTTCAAAGTTCTTTGCAAACTTTCCACCATCGGTCGGTCGGCTAACTTCTCTTTTCCTTAGGACCCAATCGCCCATCCTGAATACCCTTGGCCGCACCTTTTTATCATGGTACGATTTAACTTGACGGTGATAACTCTTTGCCTGGATGTAGGCCCTTTCTCTTCGTTCATCTATCAAGTGCAATTTGGCCATCAAGTTTTCCTCGTTCTCCTGTGCATCGAACGTTTCCACTCTATAACTTAGCAACGAGGTTTCAGCTAGAGCCCTTGCCTCAAACCCATATGTTAGGGCAAACAGCGTTTCTCCCGTGGCTTTCCTTGGGGTTGTCCTATAGGTCCACTAAATGTAGGGTAACTCTTCCACCCATGCACCTTTGCACTCCATTATCTTCTTCTTCAAGCCATCAACGATGGTGCGATTGGTTCTTTTCAACCTAACCGTTGATTTGTGGGTACCTGACCGCAGCATAGTTATGCTTTATACCCCAACTTTGCAGAAACTCATTGAACCCCTTTGCTTCAAATTGGGTTCCATTGTCGGTGATGATTTGTTGGGGGCTCCAAAACGGCACAAGATTTGCTTTGACACAAACTTCCTCATCTCCTCTTCAGTGAGGGTCGGCACGGGGGTAGCCTCAACCCATTTGGTGAAGTAGTCAATAGCGACCACCAGGTACATGATGTTCCCTACTCCTCTAGGCAAGATGCCGACCAAATCAATCCCCCACCGGGCGAACGGTATTGCTGTGCTGATCAGGGTGTAGTTTGTTGTCGGTCGCCCTGGTACCTTTTGAAACTCCTGGCACACTTTGCACTTGCGCACATACTCCGCCCAATCTCTTATGATTGTTGGCCAGAAGTACCCCTGCAGCGTTATCTTCTTTGACATTGTGAAAGCTCCTTGATGCGCTGAACATATCCCTTCGCGGATTTCCTCCATCAACTTCTGCGCTTCTTCTCTCCTCAGGCATCTTAAAAATGTACCATTGTACGATCGCTTGTACAGCCTTCCGCACTCCAGCGTGTAGCTGGGTGCGCGTCGCTTAACGACCTTGGCCGCGACCGGGTCTGTTGGTGACCAATCCAGTTCGACTCATTAACTATGATGACCAAAACATGTCCGGGACTAATGCTTGGCTCGAACAACTCCTCCTCTTGAGTCATTGCCTTAATGTGTTCCGGGGAATCTTGGCCAAGCTTTGAGAGGATATCTGCCTCAGCATTTTCCTCCCGGGGGACCTGCTCCATTCGGTACGCTCCAAACGCCTTGAGTGGCTCTAACGCGGTGTCCCTGTACTTATTCATTCGCTCATCCTTCGCTTCAAACTCTCTTGTGACATGGCCGACTACCAACTTTGAGTCGCACCAGATTTGCATCCGCTCAGCTTTTAAAGAAGCTGCCAGCCTCAATCCACACAGGAGTGCTTCAAACTCAGCCTCATTGTTCGAGACTTTAAACTGGAACCTTATTGAGTAATACGCCTTGAACCCTTCTAGCATAGAGTTGCAGTGGGAGGGAAGTAGCTCAGCATCTTATTCATCAATCTTCAGGGTCTTCACTGACTCTTCCTCTGTTTCTGCATTCCCGTAGTTTGAGATTTCTTGAGAGAGTGAATCTCTTACTACATCTTTTGTTTGTTGCTCAAAAATAGCAATTGGAGTTTTAGTGGCTCGGCTATTTGAGCACCTTCTGCTGCTTCTTCAAAGCTTCTCTAGGCTTCCACTGCTGGTTCCTCCTGATCTTTTTCTTCTGTAGCCTCTGAAGGAGTGGACGTACTTCTCCAGATTTTCTGCTGACTTCTCCGGAATTTCAGGTTCAGTCTTGTTGGAGATCTCACAAGTGGTTGTGACGATCTCATGAACCTAAAATTGGAGGGATTGCAGAAGTTCTTCTTCAGATGCTGTTTGATTCTGTTCTTCTTGCTAGGGAGTGGCTTCATACTCCAGGATGGTTTCATCAAGAACAGTTTCAATGGTAAGGGAGGATTCCGGAAAAACTTGGAAATCCTCTGCCTCAGCCTCCAAGTTTGCCTGTGCTTCAGCAGTGATGTTTTCAGCCTGGTTTTCAATCTGATTTCCAGCTGAATTGAAGAACATGGGTGTGTAGACTGCCGTATAATCATCATCAACCTCAAATTCTGAGGGTGGAGAGGTGGTCAAGTGTTCCAACAGCAGGTCTTCATTGGTTTTCTACCAGACCCATTCCTCATCCAAAATTTGCTCACAATAGCAGTTGATTGGTTGTCCCAGACATCTTTTGATAATCTTCTCATTTTTCAGTTGTTGATCTCACTCAAGCAACTGATCTGCAGAGTTGCCAACCTTCCAAGCTTTCCAAACATAGTAGAGCTACAGAAATTTGCTCACTTCATTAGTTAGAGCTTGTGATGAAGGAGATGGAAGGTCTTGGTCTTGATGGGTTTTTTCATCAAGATTTTGAGGACTGTCTTGAGGTTTGTTCTGCACTGAGTTATCCGGATTGGCTTTTCCAGATGTGTATGGAGAGAAAATTCTTCTCTTCTTCTTCTTCTGAAGTTCTCCTTGTGTCTCACTTCTTCTTCATCATCCAGATTGACTATTGCAAGATTGTGTGGTTCCTCAACACTAGGGGAGGGAGATAACCACTTGCTTTTTTTAGGACTTCTTCAAACTTACAATCAGAACATTGTCTGAAGATCCTTCATCTTCTGCAGTAGAACTGGCTATGTTTTCACACTTGGTTGACAGGTAGTACAACCAATATCTGGCATCATATTTCTTGCCTTCAGAGGCAATGCCCATGGACTCCAGAATGTGTCCAAGGTATAATCCTTGACAGAGATATTTCTGCTTGGGCTTCCCTAAGTGCTTGGAAACTGAATTGAAGAAATGTTTAGCCCAATTTACCTTAGTCTTGGTAATGAGGGCGTTGATGATGAAAGCTCTTTCCTGGGTTATGTCATCTGCATGTCCTCCACTTCCACACTCCAGACATGCTATGACAAGCTCCAAGATTAATTTGTAGTCATTCTTCAAATCGGCCTTCTTTGCTGGGCCAGAGGAGATTTGTCCAGAAATCTCAATTGTGTTCCAGTCCAGGTTCTTGGACGAGAGCTTCCCAATGTCAATTCCAGAGTTGGGAAGGTGAAGCTTCTTTTTCAACTTCTTCTGTGAGATCTTCACTTCAGTGCCTCCAACAGTTGATTCAATGACTTGAATCGATCTCTGTGGATTCTTCTTGGATTGAACGGTTGTGACTTTTCTATTCGTGTAGATTTCGAGAACTTCTTCTTCATACTTGAAGCGAATTTCCATATGAAGAAATTCATAGAGTTCTTGAGCTGCAATCATCTCCAAATACGCTTCGTAGAAGGCGGGTGAATAGCATTTGGCTTCCAATTTCTTAAAGTGAACATTCGAGCCAACAACCTTCATTTTTGCTGAATTTTGGGAGAAAGAATCTGAAGAAATTAGGATTCTTCAGTTGAGATTTCTCGTGAGGAAGACGACAAATATTTGAGTGGGCAGATGAGATCTGAATATAGTGGTGATTGAGTTTAATTTTGGGTGATGTATGCGGCTAGTGGCGTTTGGGTTTTCAACTGTTCCCAAGGCCACGTGCCTACCCATTACTTTATCAGACGTGGTAAGTGGACTGCCACGTGTACCACACTCATTCTAATTGAATTAGACCAATTTTGTGAAGCAATTCGGAAAACCTGGCTTCACTTAGTGGTTTTGTGAAGATATCCGCCAATTGTTTGTCAGTTGAGATATACTCAATTCTGATATCCTTCTTTTCCACATGATCTCTGATGAAGTGATGCTTGACATCAATGTGCTTAGTGCAAGAATGATGCACTGGATTTTGTGAGATGGCTATAGCACTTTGATTGTCACAAAATATTGTCACTTCCTTTGTTTTGACTCCATAATCTAGTAGTTGTTGCTTTAACCATAAGATTTGAGCACAACAACTACCAGCAGCAATGTACTCTCCTTCTGCTGTAGATGTAGAGATGGATTTTTGTTTCTTACTGAACCAAGAAACAAGATCTCCACCAGTGAATTGACAAGTGCCAGATGTGCTCTTCCGGTCAACTTTACATCCGACAAAGTCAGAATCTGAGTATCCCACTAACTCAAATGAGCTGCTCTTAGTGTTTTGGTTGAGTTTTGTGTTTGACATGATTGAAGAACCAAAAATCATAAACCATGAAATTGATGTTAAAAATATGAATTAATGATGCCAAAATGATCTATGAACCTTGGAGAACATCTCTATATAGTTTCGTTGAAGTTCGATAACTAAAAACGGTATTTTCGAAATTGGACCCGAAGGTTGAAGAAGATGAACAGTGCTCGAAAATGTGCAGAGAGGATCGATCATACCTCTTGGATCGATCCCCTAGGCATAAGTTTTCTATCAATGATCGATCAAATGCACTAGATCGATCCTTTGAATTTCTGATCCGAAAATTTCTCTGAAAATGTTATTTTTGATCTCTAAAATCCTATTTTTGATACCAAATGATTATGATCATTATAAAAATTATTTTTCACATTAAAAGTAATATTTTTAACAAATAAAATGTTATGTGATGCATGACGGTAAGTTAGGGTGTTAACACCCGAAGCTAGGCCGCTATTTGTTATTGAATATTATGTTGATTGATGATTATGGTAATGATTATTGATTGATGATTATGATGATTAAATCTTAATAAATATTCTTATTAAAAATGATAATTGTGAATGATTAAATCATAATGAATATATTGATGATTGTGAAAATAATATATTGTTAAGGGTATCTAGAAGACCTCTAAGATATACCCATATTAATGTTGATTTGAAAGGTATCTAGAAGACCTCTAAGATATACCCATATTAATGTTGATTTGAAAGGTATCTTGAAGACCTCTAAGATATACCCATATTAATGTTGATTTGAAAGATATCTAGAACACCTCTAAGATATACCTATTTAAGTTAGGCCTTGCGGGTATGAACCCCGGTGGCTAGGGTTAAAACGTGCGTACGGGATCCAAGAACCAAACTTGAGTACCTACTCATTTGGGGGTACCACCCACCCAACAATGAACACTACGCTCAGCCAAAAACCAACCGGAATTCACTTCCATTCAAATTCTAAAAGTTTTGGGAAAATAGAATTTGATCCGGATCGAATTCCTAATAAATCCTTATAAAATATGACCTTATATCAAATTAATAAATTTGATCTTAAGCACATTCCCAACTGTTTATAATTTCACTAACCGGAATCTGATTCTTATCATTAAGGATATTGTTGAATCTTGAATATTGAATATTGAATATGAATAAATATTGAATGATGAATATTGAATTGAATATTGCAATTATTATGAATGACTGATGAACATTTAATGTGAATATAAATGTTGAATAATGAATGATGAATACTGACTAATGATTATTAAATATCTGAACTGAACATTATGTGCATGATATCAAATGATTTGATTATAAATTTAGATTCAGTTTATGTGGATGTTCGACGCATTAGATATGCTTACTCAGCTTTACCGCTGAGCGTGTAGTGTGTTTTATTTGCTACACGCAGGTCAATAGGATGATGTGACGTGATCCTGGAGACAGACGGAGGCGAGATTGTCGGAATGGATGTGATGGTTTTGAATTAATATACATAAATAAATTGTGTTTGTCATTATGATTTGTTAAGCTTCTGCAATATTGAAAACTCCGTACTGTTTATGATATGAAAAATATTATTATGATAAATAAAAGTGTTTGAAATGTTTTAAATTTTTACGATTACCAAGTTAATACTTTAGTCCGAAAGGGGCTGCAGACCTGGAGGGATTAGGGTGTTACAAGTATCCTGTAGCCGATCGAACACAGAGGTTCGCAGCTTCTTTTGTCTCTGATCCCCCAACCGATCATCCTCCTCGTCCAATCTAGATAATCCATCTTCCATTATAGCCTTCCGTTTAGGCTTGGTCGCCTTCTTCTTGTGGGAACGCCTGGTTTTCTTCTTCTCTTACTCTTAGAGGCCTCCGGGCCAGCCTTCCCTTCGGTCGGCACCCCAGGAACGCCATCCACCACCCCCTCCTTGAACTAGTCGGCCGTGATCCCGATCCATTGGATAAGAGCCTCGGCCTCCGTCACGCTGATAAGAGGGCGACGACCTCTGGTGGCGCTGGTCTCACCCTAAGGAGGGTTTTCGGTAACTTGATTCGCGTTGCTGTGAGTTTGCACCATTGTTCTATGGAAGGTTTTCCCTTGAGCGTAGTTCTCGGGCTCTCAACGAGAGCACAAATTTGATGGACAATAAATCTACCAAATGATCCGACTCAGAACGACGGACCGAAAGAATTAACGATAAACAAGAACTCGAGAATTATAGGTTTTATTTGCTTGATTCACGTTGAGGATCATCATTTAGGTCCCCTCTGTTTATACATGATTTTTAAGTAATTATGGTAGTTCACAATTCAAGGAGACTCACCCGCCAATGGCGCAATCCCCTTTCTTCGGCTATATCTCCGTCTTCGGCTAAGTCTCTGTTGTGAAAAATATTATAGATTTTGATGATGATTTATGTAATAGGGACTTTAGGTCTCCCCCAATATTCAATATAATTTTTCTTTTTAGAAATATTGTTAAAACCAAGTTCTTGAGTTTTCCAATAAAACTGTGATATTTTTTTAAGCGTTTTGATGCCTAAAGACTTGATCAAATTCAGTGATATGAAAATTGGATATCTTGATTGGAAGTGTCAGAAACAAGTAAGGATCTCTCAATCAGATAAAAATCCTCAGATCCGGAAAGACTACATAAGAACCGGATGTCTCGCTACAACCCGCTGAAGGCTAAGTCATTCAAATCGGAAGACTAGCGCGGATCTCCTTCTCACCCGGAAGTAAGACTCATCCGGATTTGTCAGCTAAGAATCGGAAGACTCACCAAAGACCAGAATTCTCAGAAAGCGGACAAGTGAGAAAAGGCTTCGAAAATCATCTAAGTCCTGAATGAAGAAATTCTACCCGTGGCAAGGAAAAATCAATCTTTTGATTTTCAACGGCTAGATTGAAGATAATTAGGCTGATTCAAGAACAAATTACTTGAAGACAAAGTCTGGGTCTCTAAAATCAAAGAGCCTGCTCAGAATTCCTAAACAAGCACTAGAAGACAAATAGAGTAAAGTGCTACAGTCTTGAATTCTTGAACAAAAACTAGAAGACGGATTTTGTGGAAAAAGGAATCCTTTCTCAACAAATGGGTAAGTCCAAACACCCACTTCAACGAAGAATCTTCAAATCACAATCTTCATTCAAAATTGAAGCCAGCAAATGCAACGGATAGTC